GTGATAGATGCTAAAAGATTTAAAAGGAAAAATCAATCTGTTCATTTCAGCAAATGCAGGAAAAAAACCCATTTGATCAAATTCATCCGTCGCTTGTCTTGATGATGACAACATCACCATGAGCAGCTCCAACCGTATTTTGTCTCTGTAGACAGGTCTCCCTGGAGCCCCAGCTGGCCTGGAACTCACTGCACACACCACTTTTTAAAAGTGAGTTGTTTTGTTTCGCTCTGGCCTCTGGGCTTTTACCCAGATGTCACCACATCAATGGAAACCCTGCGGTGGAGAGATTGTGGAGACATGGGGCGGGTGTGCCAGGCATGAGGTGGGACAGTCTCCCCTTCCGACATGGACTAAGTTAAAAAAAAAAAAAAAAAAAGCAGGTTAAAAAAAACCAGTGGCCCATGCAACAGCTGGCAGCAGGGAAGGCCACGTGGATCCTAGGTTCTCCACTGGATAAGGTGGGCAGACCGAACATGCAGGTAGGGCCATTGATGTCAACCATTGATGTCAACCATGAGTCCACTGAATGACCTTCCCTGCCACCCTGTCCCCAGGGCTGAGCATCCCAGGAGGGGGCTGGCTTCCTGAGGAAAGAATTATTCTGAGCAAATTCCAATATGGAGGGTGCCAGTTCACCAGACCTTCAGAGGTAGTAGTAGGGTTGCCGCGGTTAATGCTCACCAGTGCGGATGACCTGTCACAGCAGGGCAGAGGACACACAACCAAACCGCTTAAAAAAATTATAAGCAGCGCCAGTCCTGAAGTTAACTGGCTGGTCATGCCCAACATGACCCTGCCTGTTGCTCTGTGAGGAGTGTGGCACACAGCCACTGAGCGCTAACTGTGGCTGCGAGCCAGCACGTTGGTGCTGTGGTTCGTCTATGCTACACTGACCTCCACCCAGCCTTGTGGTACTTAGTAAGGAAGGAGTCATGGTTACTTACAATTTCAGACACTGGGATTTGGTACAGTTACATGGGTTTTTAGACTTTATGTCCCATGAACTAAGAGTTACTCTACAAAGATTAAACAGACAATGTTTTCTGATGGTTATGCTGGAAAAAGAGAATTCTGTGTATATGTATGAGATGTAAAAAATGGGCCATGAGAGGACAAGGGAGGGCAATGGGGCGGTGCTGTGGAGGCAGAAGGGGGCTAACCGAGGGGGAGGCAGCAAGGGGTGGGGGGACTGGCTTAGGACAGTTAGTGGTTGTCCTAGTTTGTTCTTCATTGCTGTGACAGAACACTCTGACCAATACCAACTTGGGGAGGAAAGGATTTATTCAGCTTACAACTCCCAGGTCACAGTTCATCAGGGAGCCCAAGGTAGGAACTCAGGGCAGGAACCTGGAAGCAGGAGCTGGAGCACAGGCCATGGAGGAAAGCTGCTTACTGGCTTGCTCTCTTGGCCCCTGCTCAGCCTGCTTTCTTATGAGACACAGGCCCACCTGCCCAGGGGTGGCACCACCCACAGTGGGCTGGGCCCTCCCACATCACTCATCAAGAAGATGACCCTCAGACATGGCCACAGGCCAGTCCAATAGAGGCAATTCCCCGATTGAGGCTCCCTCAACCCAGGTGTGTCAAGTTGACACTAAAGCTATCCAGCACAGTGGTGCAGGGTGAAAATGCCACAGAGTGTTAGTGTGTAGGCAAACTAAAAAATTAATTCACTAAAAACTACAAAATAGGCCGGGTGTGGTGGCACATGCCTTTAATCCCAGCACTTGGGAGGCAGAGGCAGGCAGATCTCTGTGAATTCGAGGCCAGCCTGGTCTCCATTAGCAAATCCAGGCCAGCTGTGACTACAGGGAGACCTTGTCTCAAAAAGGCCAAAAAAAGAAAACCAAAAACAAAACCAAAAAAAAAACCAAACAAACAAACAAAAAAAAAGACAAAAGAAAGGAGCTAAGGGATGGTATTTGGAGCAAACAGTAGACACTGGTGTGTGAGGCAAAAGGGGTTACGTGGGTCACAACTAGTGGCCAAGTGGAGCGAGGGTGGGTTCCCACAGCTGTTCATACTCTGCAGGCTGCCTAAGGTTCCTCCCCTGGCCTGCTCAAGCCCTCCCCCTCTGCATGCCCTTGCCCACCAAATCTGGATGCCACAAAGGAGGCCAAAGCTTTTTCAAAAAGAACAACCGATGGGTGCTGGGTAGGTGGCTCAGCAGGTGAAGTGCTCGCCGAGCTGACGTGAGGACCTGAGTTTGATCCCCAGAACCCACATAAAAAGCTAGGCATGGCACTGCCTGCCTGTGACCCCAGAAGCAGACGTGGAGACAGACAGGCCTGGGCCCACGCACTCCCCTCTCCCTGTGTCACCCTCATTGGCCACCATCCTCTGCTCTGGCACAGACTCCACTTGCCTCATGAGGTTTCTATGTTCCTCTGCGACGTCACTGCCTGGCCAGCCATGGGCCCAGGACCTGTCTGTGTCCACTTCCCCAGTGCTGGGATTACAAGTGTGCACCACCATGGCCAGCATTTTTCATATGGGTTCTGGGGATAGAACTCGGGTCCTCATGCCTACGTAACAACCCTCTGCTGACAGCATCTCCTCATCCCTGGCTGTATCTCCTCATCCCTGAAAGGATGTCTCAGTGGAAACAACAGTGTGAGCAGAGATGCACCATTGGGACTAAGCAGAGGGTATGAGGGGACAAGGAAGAGACCTGCCACCTGTGGTGGAAACTACTGGGAAAGGCATCCATGGCTGACAGTATCTGAATACTCAAAAAGACCAAAAAAGAAAAAAAAGGCAGAAAGTGTAAGTTAAAAAGTACACTGATCTGAGGGTTAGTGGGAGGTGGGGCTGGGGAGCTGGCTCAGGGGTTAACAGCACTGGCTGCTCTTGTAGAGGACCTAGATCTGGTGTCAACTTAAAAGTCAGAGTCAGGGGGCTGGAGAGGTAGCTCAGTGGTTAAAAGCACTGACTGTTCTTGCGGAGGACCTGGGTTCAATTCCCAGCACCCATATGGCGGCTACAAACCATCCTTAACTCCAGTTCCAGAGGAATCCAAAGCCCTCTTCTGACCTCCACGGCATTGCACGACACGGGTGCGCTCACATACATGCAGACAACACACTCATACACATAAAATAAAAATAACAAATAAAATATTAAAAAAAAAGTCACGAGTCAGAAGGCCTGGCTGAGATCTGGACAAGCCATTTCCCACAGGCATCAGGAATGAGCCATGCTGGAAAAGTCTCTGGAGATGCTGTGATCTTTGGTATATTACCCAGACAATAGCACCATCCACAGGGCGGGCAGCTCTGTTCAAGTCAGCCAGACTGACAGGATGTGTGTTTACCGTCCAGGGTTTTAGCGTATGTACAATGAAGTAATAGGTCAGCCATTACCACAGGGCTCTGGTGACTGGCTGGAGACTGCCTTTGGTCCAAGACCCCCATGACCTGCTTCTCATCCCTCCACAGGTCAGCCCTGCTGGGACAACTGTGCTGACAGTTCCCTTCTGATATCGCAGATTCTGATGACCTGGTTGACTGTGAAGTCAAGAGGGCTGAGGGATGTGTGGAGAGGATGGTGAGCCGGCCCAGAGCGGGAACTCCACCCTGAAGCCACCCGCCAACGCTTCTCATGCCGTCCTCCCCACAAGTCAAAACCTGCAAGTTGTTCAGGGGGTGGCAGCAGGGACCCAACACAAAGCCCTGGCGGCTCCTGACGTGTTGCTGACGGACAGTATTTGTGGCCTTCAGAACTCTATTCCAGAACAGAAACAAAGGCACACCCCGGACTGAGAAAGCCTGATAGAGCAAGAAGGGGAAGGAAAGGGAGCCTGTACTGCAGAGTAAACCTCCTTTGGAAAAGGCACAGTGGCCTCACCCCAGGGTAGCGCCAGATGGCACAGTGGCTGTGAGGGCACAGCAAATGTTGTACCAAACTCCCCGCAATGTTCTGGGCATGCTAAGGCACAAGGAGGTGCAATGCCACCTGCCCCCAGATGACAACAAAGGCACAGTGAGCCTTCTGTGGCTGTCACCTCTGACCCTGTGCAACCACAGTCTTGGTGCTGTTGACAGGGAGGGGCTGGATGCTGCCGAGGCCAGTCTTGCTTCATCCAGAAATGTGAACAGCCAGGACAGATGACCAAGGACAGTCCTGCCCACCATGTCCTTGCAGGGTCTACCATGCCTATAGACGGAAGGGTGAGCTCCATCTTGTCTCACTCCAGGCCGCTCTAGGAGTCATTAGCTGACCCGGCACAGCGTTCCCCTGCTACTACTGAAACCAAAGCCACAGGTCCCTAGTGATAGCTGCACGGGTCTGTGCAGCCTCCATGCCACCTGTCATCCAGGGTCCAGCTGGCTTTCCTCACCTTGCCCCGACTTGTCCCTCACACTTACCAGTGTCAGGCCAGGCACAGAGGCCACAGACTGCATCTTGCAAGGCACCTTGCCTGTGTCGTTCAGCCCGAGTACACACAGCACTAGTGAGGCCCAAGCACCCGTGGCGGCTGGAGCAGAGACACAGCTTCACAACTAATACACAGTGACCAAGTGCGTGGAAATGCAAGAGTCTCAGCAGCCTGCTCCATGTGAGCAGTTAAAACTTCAACACAAATTTTTAAAATGACAAGACAGAGTCCCAGCAAAGTGCAGCACTTACCCACCTGGAGACCCCAAAGACAAGGCTAGCCCTCCACAGAGCCGCAGACCCAGAGCATATGCTGAAACAGCCCGGCACCACTGGAGCCCACGAGAAACAGAGACAGAGCTACACAGAGCCAGGCCACCCCAGAACATGGCACGAGTGAGCAGAGAGCAGAGGGGAAGCCAGGGGTCATCACAGTCGGCCCTCCAGTCACAATGACGCACACACAGGAATGTCAGTGTCCCTGCTGGGGGAACACCAATCTTTCAGAAGCTGTTAACATTTGAGGTGAGGCTGATTCTACAGCACAGAAGGAAGTGCCGACCCACCACGGTGTCTTAAACCTCTATCAAAGGCAATGAAGCGCTGCTTTTAATCCTTACCCAGCCAAAGCTACCTTGGGTGGTCCCTGCAGACCTGATCCTAAGGTCAAGGCAGGACCGCCAACAGCTGACTGGAGGGCACCATTATCAACCTGGGTGGAGGCAAAAGCAGAAATGATCTGTCAGTGACAAGTGCCAGCCAGCAGCCCCACACAGATTGAAACCATCTTTCTATTTTCAGGTTGACATCACAATCCTGATATTTGGACCGACCGCTGAGACCATCATGCCACTCTGCTCAGACACAGGGCCCCAGGAAGCAAAGTCCCTGACTGTGGAGGCAAACAGCAGTACAGTGCCGCGGGGAGCCAGGGCTACCGGCCACCAAGGCCAAACTGGTGAGCAGTGTGCACAGCTGTCACAGGGCTAGCTTTTAGGGAGCTGGGTGTGGTGGTGCATCTCAGCTACTGGGGAGACTGAGGTCAAACCAGGAGTTCAAGGCCCATCTCAGTTAAAGAAGACCCTGTCTTTAAAAATAAATAGCCAGGTGTGGTGGTACATGCCTTTAATCCCAGCATGGGAGGGGGGGACAGAGACAGGCGGATCTCTGTGAGTTCAAGGCCAGCCTGGTCTACACAGACAGGAAAGCTGGTGGACTAGGCCAGCTCTGGCAGTCTGTGTGTGGTCACCATGGTGCCCACAGTCCAGCTCCATGCTGTGCCCTACAGTGCTCAGCCCTTTCCTCCGGCTAGCAGAGGGCTTGAATAACACACTGGCACTTCAACCAAGACTCAGCTCGTTGCGCACTCCCTGATTTAGAGGACTCTGCTCACAGGACTTCCAACACAGCCTCTGCATCCCCATGCCCACACCTTCCCCACCCTGACCTGCACCAGTTGGGCCTTCTCCATTCCTTCCCTATGCCCCTGACAGCTCATCTCTCCCATGGCAACTCCATCTTTCCGTCTTTTCAGGCTCAAGACCAGCCGGGAGCCCATGGGCATGATGACTCTGTCCCCCAGGTTCTGACACTCTTTTGTTGCTACTGTTGTTTTTAAAGATTTAGTCTCTTTTTAAAAAAATTTTTTATTATCTTTATTTTCTGTGTATGAATGTATTACCTGCGTGGGTGTAAGTGTACCCGTGTTATGAAATGCCCATGAAAGTCAGGTGTCAGATTCCCCTGGAACTGGAGTTAAGGATGGTTGTTAGCCACTATGTGGGTGCTGGGAATTGAACCC